CAAAACAGTTTCTAATCACCTGGGTTGTGGTGCATATATTGGACTACTGGAAGCGGACAGTAACAGCTTGATCGATCAGGCCAGCAACCAGGAGGCCTGTTCTGGGACATGGCCCGGGGCAGTGACCCTTAGAAGCAACTCTAGGTAAACTCCAGGTGTTGCACATGTGTCTTATTCATCAACTTATCGGTAATGAATATAATCACTGTTTTATGATATGTTTCCTGTGTTATGTTCCTGTCTATTTGGCTTACTCCAATTTTTTTAAAGTCTACGGTTTTCACCCAGAATGTTTCAACTTAATCCACGTTCTTAGCGGGTAGACGCGCCCCAGAGTCTAACCCAATCACACATGTTTTAAACTGATTACAAACTGGTCAGGCCTCCATGGAATTCCAGCAAGAATATTTTGTTTGATGTTGACAAAGTTAATAATGCCTACAGCATTGCGGGTTGATGCTTTTTGTTGTTTTGTTTCTGACAAGACAAACGTTTTACTTTGGTTTGTTTTATTCCTTACAAATGTAAGAAACAGGATGTTGTCTAAGTAGAGAAAGAGAGTTTAACAGAGTATGATAGAGGATTTTTTTGATGTGAAAGAAAGAGAAAGAGAAAGAAAGAAAGTGTTTTAGGAAGGTGCGGAATGTGTGTGTGTGTGTGTGTGTGTGTGTGTGTGTGTGTGTGTGTGTGTGTGTGTGTGTGTGTGTGTGTGTGTGTGTGTTGTGTGTGTGTGTGTGTGTGTGTGTGTGTCGTGTGTGTGTGAGAGTGTGTGTGTGTGTGTGTGTGTGTGTGTGTGTGTGTGTGTGTGTGTGTGTGTGTGTGTGTGTGTGTGTGTGAGTGTGTGTGTGTGTGTGTGTGTGTGTTTGTGAGTGTGAGTGTGTGTGTGTGTGTGTGTGTGTGTGTGTGTGTGAGTGTGAGTGTGTGTGTGTACTCACCTAGTTGTACTCACATAGTTGAGGTTGCGGGGGTCGAGTCCGAGCTCCTGGCCCCGCCTCTTCACTGACCGCTACTAGATCACTCTCCCTGAACCGTGAGCTTTATCATACCTCTCCTTAAAGCTATGTATGGATCCTGCCTCCACTATATCGCTTCCCAAACTATTCCACTTACTGACTACTCTGTGTGTGTGTGTGTGTGTGTGTGTGTGTGTGTGTGTGCTGTGTGTGTGTGTGTGTGTGTGTGAGTGTGTGAGTCTGTGTCTATGTATCTGCAAAACCTGACAAGAAATACAGAGAGCATTAAATCATTCTCTGAATAGGAAACAGCCTGTCACATACATAAAACTGCCACAGACAGATTACAACCTATCTATTAAATTACCATTGATTGACAAAACTCTATTATATACATTAAGCTGCAGCAGTCAGCACGTACTGTCAGGCATCAAACTAGAGCAGACAGGCAACAACTGTTCCTGTCTATCACAGGAAGCTTTTAGAGGTCAGTTTTTTCCTCTCCTCGTTTGTTTATTTGGCAATAAAAATGTCACTTAAGCCACACACACAAACATGGACAAATCAATTTAGTGTTTTGTGTGTGGCGGTTCGAAAGGATAAAAAACAAGGCTGGGTCGAGTAGCGTGTTTTAATTTGTAAATATATTTACTGACAACGTCCCCGTAAAATTTGACTTCCTAAACTGCAATATATTTTAAATAATTTTTTCATTATTTTTTCCTTTTTAGGTTATTGCGCGTATTTGACAAATTAATAATAATAATAATAATAATAATAATAATAATAATAATAATAATAATAATATAATAATAATAATAATAATAATAATAATAATAATAATAATAGTAGTAGTAGAATTTGTAGTGTGAGTAGAGGTAATAGTAGCAGTGCCAGCAGTAGTTATTGTAGCAGGAGTAGCATAGGCTATTTAAGTATCACCAGTCATTGTAATAACAGCAGTAACAATAGCAATATTACTAACAAAGAGAAACAACAGAAGATGGATTAACAACAATACCAATTGTATTAGCACAAAAAAATAATGATATATATTACATTCGTAATGACAAATTTAAGTAGTGTAGAGTTGGCAACATCTTCAGTTAATAATTCACATGTTCATCCTCTGAAAATTTAATATTATTTAATGAAGGCGCTAAGTGGTCATTAAGCTGAAGTCACGAATTATGAAGATAATTGTTAGGGGAAATTTTATATTTAATTATACTGATGCAATTTTTGTCATGGTTATTTTCAAATCTCACTTTGACCATTGAGTGTTTTTTGATGTAAATATATTTTTTTACTGGAAATAAGAGGCAGATAGATAAGATAGATAAATAGATTACGTAGATTAAAAGGTAAATGAATCTATCAGTCCATGGAGAGATACACTGATAGACAGACACAATCATAGGAAGATTGATAAACAGAATGAGAGACTTATACT